CAGATTAGTCAGCTGTGGCCAGGTTCAGACTTGGAGAAATTTCATTATTCTGAGCACAATCACCTAAAATTGGAAAAAGAAGTGATCCAGCCTCAGAATTTATTTTTGTTTGAATCTACTTTAGAAGATTATAACCATCACCATAATTATGGAGATTTTGGAGGTGAAAGTGCACACCTTCTGAAGTCGTCAGATCTCTCACTCTTTTCAAGATTGGAGATGCCTCAATCTGGCTATGTATATTCTTTGGAAGGGAGTCATTCCACGCCATTTGGTGTTGTACCTACAAGAGAAGATGAATGGCATAGCATTAAACCCCATTCCATACGTAATCGCCCCCGAAATCCACTGATAGAAGCTGTTGCTGCCCATGACAGAAGCACGGTAATACTTGTGTGGTGTAGCAACTACTTATTTTTCCATTTCTTTGGCGGCAAGAGCTAACATTTGCTTTATCCTTTACATCTTGCAGTTAAGAAAGGTGCCGGAGCAAGCTAAGCCTTCAAATGAGTCGAAGGCAGACAAAAAGGATGCAGTGCTAGAGTCCAATATTTTGCAGTTGAGGAAGGTATCAGAGCATATGAAGCCCTCCAATAAACCTAAGGCAGATGAGAGAGATGAGTTACTGGAGCAGATAAGAAACAAGGTCGGTATGCTTCTGATAATATAAAATTGTTTTTGCTTTAGAGACCTCTGTTTGATATCAAGAGTCGATTTTTTTTTCTTTCAGTCGTTCAGTCTGAAACCAGCAGTCCTTTCAAAGACAAACAACAAGGGCCACTCAACAAATATTAAAGTTGCTGCCATCTTAGAGAAGGCAAATGCACTACGCCAGGTTGGTCTCTATAATAGACAAGTTGATTCTGAACAGTTTCTGTCCTTTGTTCTTCTGCCTACCAATCATGCATCTTCTTTGGAATAGGCAATGGTGGGAAGTGATGAAGAAGATGGTGGAGATGGTTGGAGTGACTGCTGAGTACTAATCATCACCTGGAAATTCTGGAGCTCTCCTAGCATACATCTCAAGCTAAAATATGCAAGATGTGGTTGCACAAGAGCACGGTCTACAAAGTGGCAAGTCTGATTAAAGCTGAAGTAGTGCAGCCGGGAAGCTCCAATTTTAATCAGTGCATACCATCATGTGAATAATATTCCCTTTGTTTTCTTCTTCTTTCTTCTTGTTCAATCTGTATTCTCCGTCTCCAGTTAGCTTCTCCTCCTCCTGTACCAGCTAAAGCGCTGCACGGGAGTAAAACAAACCGAGGTTGTGGTCTGTTCAATTTCAATTGGTGACATGTATTTTTTTTATTATGTATGTAGGTTATCCAAAGTAAATCTAGGAATTCTTGATTGCTATTATATTCTAGCAGAGTTCTTATCACAAGATCATGAATTGTAGCATAACAAGGTTTCCTGGATTTTATAATTATTTGGGTAGGTTCGACTTTGATTGCATATCAAAGTCACTTGTTGCCCTATTTCTGCAGCTTACCAAATGAGGTTAATTAACAGTAGATGGATGATAAATCGTATTGACAGTTGATTGATATATTGGTAAGACCAAATCAACTGTCAATACAATATATCATCCTTTTTGTCAGACCATCCATGCCCACACAAGTGTGCTGATGCCACTAAAATGTATAATAATGTGCATTTTTCCTCGTCATTGGTGTTATCTTCTTGATTGTTCTCAGAATGTGTCGAACAGGGGATGACACTCCTGCCTTTCTGCTGTGCCCCACGGATCCTATTGCATGGAAGCTCAACATCATCCATGCTGCATTCTGCAGTTCCTAATAAATAGAAAGGTCGATTTGATCTCAATGTATCTGTTGATTTCATGGTTAGAAGTCGAATTGTAGTTGGATTGAATTATCAAACTCAATTGAAGTCGATCAGTTTTAGTCAATTTTAACTAATTTGGCAGCCACACAAGATTGAAAAACACAGATGGAATTAGGATAAGAAAATACATGTTATCATGATCTTAAAACGGCTTGGATTGCTTTAGCTCTATGGTTAAAAGATGTTTCATTTCCTAAGGAGACAAAATTTACCTGAATCATCAAATAACTTATGAGACACCTTTTATGCTTATATAATAATAACAATAAAATCGTAAGTTTTAACTAATTATCGATACTTATGATATGTCTATAATTAATAAAATTATAATATTTTTCATGATTAATACATAATCTATAGTTTTAAAATATTCATATAATACTAATCTCAATATATTTTTTGGTGACATTTTATAAAATATAAAATTATTAAAATTACCTATTGCAGGGAGGGACTAATATCAAAAACGGAAACAATTCGCCCAATGTGGGCCCGGCATCGGCCCTACAGATGGAAACGTGAGGCTAAATGAGGAACGAACCGAAGGAGCATTTCCGGTTCCCGTCACCGCTACGGTATGGAACTTACGAGTAGCGGGGGCGAAGCATCGGTTTTAATCTTACCAGCAGTGCTTTGACCGGGAATAATTTCGTTGTCCTACCCACCTACGGAACCTAAGCCGTTCCGAACGGTTTAGGTGGGACCCACCGATGATTAAATTGGGTTGGCGACGGCGGGCGATTAATATTTCATGAGGCCCTTCTCGTTTCGCTTCGTCACTCTCTCTCTCTCTCTCTCTCTCCTTCGGCTCATTCCCTTCTCCGTCTCGCCCCTCTCTCTCTTGAAACCCTCGGTCTCTGTCTCACCATACAACCCATCGATTGCTTCTCTCCTGCGGCAAACCCTTCTTTGCTTTGTGTGTCCCGCCGAGCAGTGTTGCGAGTCCACTAGACGCGTCGCTGGTATCCGTTCTTTCTTCTTCGTGTACCCTCAGTGCTTGTCATTGCTTTCTTGTGTGGTGTGTTAATTGGATGGGTTTGTCTGGGTTTTTGGGGTGCGGAGATGTTCATAGCATTTGTGCGATTGGAAGGAAGAGTTTGTCTAGGTGGCCGATTGTGGGTTTTAGCTTTGATCCTATCACGAAGTTTGTACCATTCTTTCATCATGAATTTTCTAGCAGGTTTCTTATGTTCTTCCTATTTTTTTTGTGCGAATAAGGGGGAAAATGCAAAGATGTTAGCTTAAAAGCTTTAGAATTACAGGGGACACATGTTTTATAAAACAATGAGGCAAGAGGGTTCTAGTGCTGTTTTGAATGTGATAATCTCAATACATTATTCCATGCTTTTCCTGAAAAATGATAATTTTTTTTCTCTGCTTGCCAAAATAGCAGAATGGTGCAACAGAAGAGACAACAGTTAAACAACTTTTTGGGGAGAACTGTGATGCCTTTGAACCGCACTGTTTCAACAAGGAACTTGCACAAGAGTGATCTGGGAGGAGTGATCTTCGGCTGTAAACACAAAACGATGGAGGAGTGCCTGTCAAAGAAGATATTTGGTCAGTTTATGTGTATAAACTCATATTTGCAAGCTATCAATCTGATCTTTTCTTATTGACGTATCTTATCTTGCTTTACTTGTAATGTATAAAGTTTTCCAGTTTTCCTTTTTTTATTTTGTTGTTGTAACTGCAGAATCCTTTGCGACTAAAAAAGTCAGATCGTACATTGTTTTGTGCAATAAATTTTTTGCAATATTTTTGGTCATCTATGCATATTAACATGGAGCAAGCCTTATAAGTGAATCTTTTTAACTTTAAGTTCTGACAGGTTTACCCTCAACACACTTCGTCTATGTCAGAAATATTGAAGAAGGTCTACCCCTGTTTCTGTTTAATTATAGTGACAGGAAGTTACATGGCATCTTTGAGGCCGCAAGTCATGGTCAGTTGAACACCAACTCATATGCATGGACTGACGGTAGCACTAAAAGGACTCCATATCCTGCACAGGTATTGCCCTAAAGCAAACTCCTTTCACATGTCAAAGGGTATTTTGATTTTTGTTGTGTTAGCATAGTTTTGACCATGTAAAGTCGTTCAGTTCTATCTGACATATGTATCCTTTGTTTTCCAAGGTTTCAATTCGTATCAAGACAAATTGCGCACCACTTACTGAGAATCAGTTCAAAAAGATAATAGAAGATAATTACTATAATCCACAACACTTCTGGTTTGAGCTTGACCATGCACAGACAAGTGCTTTAATTGCACATTTTGTACCTTTACCTTCACATACCAACACCAGAGCAGATCATCTTGCTTTACCAGCACCAACAACCACCTTTTCAAAGGCAACTAGCAGCAGTAGATGCACATATGCTGAGGCATGTGTACCAAAAAAAGATTTTTATATGCCTGTTAATTTGGTTGATAAGAACAACTTTCTGTCACTTTCTTGTGGTGATGAAGATAACAACCATGGTGTTTCAAGTAAAACATCATGTAGTGCCATTGAAGATATGGAAAATGTGGAGACAGTGTCAGATTGGGAAGAATGGGCAGTGGAAAATATGCAAGTAATGAATGTAAATGCAAGCATTTGTATGGATTCAGAGCACAAGTTGCAGCAACATGAGGTTGGCAATGAGGCATCTGAACCCCAGGTTGAAACAGTTTTACTTAAGCTTAGAAGGATGGCTGCTGATTCTCAGTGCTCAACTCAGTCTGCCAATGATTGCAGAGACAATATTATCTCTGGTGAAATGGAAGAGTATGCTGAACAGGTTTTAGGGAGGTACACTGCTTCTGCCGAGAAGGAAGATGATGAGACTATCCCCAAGCCATTTCATGAAAATAATGAGGTAATGAAGTTCAAGACATTAGATTCGATAATCCCATTGCTAGTGGTAACCTTGGTACATTGCCATGCCCTAATTTATTTCCCACTTCTAATGTGTACACACAGTTGACACAAGTCGTCTGTGAGTTGAAAGCATGGGCAGAAAATTTAGAGAAGAAGCAGGTTCTTTCTTTCTCTCATTTATTTGAATACAGACATTAATTTCTATTCTGTATTTGAATACAAACAAATAGCGCTAGAAAGTTTTCAATTTTCTATGGTGGTTTAGCTGTGATTTAATTTTGCAAATATGCATCTAGGACTCTTAAGAAGAGTTCCATAGTTTTAGATCGAACTTTCATGGCTCAAGCTCTAGCATTGCAAGCTGCATTTCTTAACAAAGTAGATAAAATATGATGCAAATTGGGACTTGCATATGTTGACTTTATTTCCAAATTTAAGAAAATGAGATTGTTATATGTTCTTCTCCAGAATGACCCCATTGTTCGAGCACTTCATTTGCTTATTTGAACTTTTTATTCTGAAGGATTTGAGTTCTTTATACACTCTAATCTGGTTCCTCTACCCAGCTTGACTTTTCAACGTTCATGCATCATCCACTGCTTCTGTGAATGTATATAACATCTTTATGAAAGTGCAACTAGTATGTTTCTAGAGTTTAGTTACTACATCGTATAACTGAAAAGGAGTCTATTTACTCTGATTCATTAATTGTTTTTGCAGGTCCATGTATTTTTTGCTTTCTTAGTCATATGTTCGAACCGTCTGCTCGGATGCATGCTAGGAAGCCTTGGTTGTGCTAACTTTGCTTAACCTCACATGCATTTTGGCCAAACAGATGGGCCAAACTGACTTGGTCACTGATTGCCTTGTATGATAGAAAATCAGCTGTTTGAGGCTCATGCACACAAGGTTTCTTAGCACTTGCATTTTGCATGTCACCATTATTTTTAGCCATAAAGAATCTGTTGATAAGTGATATAATTACCATAAATTTTCTCTTCTGGGCATGTCATCCTTGACTGAATTATTTACTTCAAAGCATTCTGATTAATCCATAGTCTGATCTGCCTTGTGATTCAGGTTGAATCAGACAGAGAAATGCAGCGATTAAGGGATCTGGTTGTGGACTCTCGAAGAAGAATGCGACAATTGAACAATCGTGTCAAGGAGCTAGAATCAAAGATAGGTCCTCCTGAAGGTCTTGATGATTCAATGAACAAATTTGTTGAGGAATGTTTGGGTTCAGAGGATGTGATTTATATCATTGGAGGTTTCAATGGCTTCTCCTGTCTGTCAGCATTAGACTCTTTTTCACCATCATTGGATTCATTAACTTCTCTCAAGTGTATGAACTATGCTCGTTCTTATGCATCTGCTGTTGCATTAGATAGCAACATCTATGTTTTCGGTGGTGGTGATGGCACTTCTTGGTATGACACAGGTACTTTGTATGCATGTGGGTCAATCATCTACTTTTTGTGACCATATATTTTTTATACTGACTGGTTTCCTTTTCTTGAAGTTGAGTGCTACAATCCAAGGAATGATGAATGGGTCTTATGTCCCCCTTTAATTCATAAGAAAGGAAGTCTAGCTAATTCTACGTTGAACGGCAAGATATATGCCATTGGTGGAGGAAATGGAGTTCAGTGTTTCTCCAATGTTGAGATGTTTGATCCAGCACTGGGAAGGTGGATCAACAGCCAATCAATGCTTATGAAGGTATTTGTAATTGCAAAACTTCATGGATGATTTAGTTGAAGTAGGTGAATGCAGGTGCTGCTGCATCCTGCATGCATGGCAGATCTCATGTTTTTTTCACTGGTTCTTTCTTCTTTTGCCATCTTTTTCATCCATGCCATATAATCTGTTCCATCAATTCATGCAAATCCACAAAATTGCAGCACTAAATCATATATGCATCTTCATTATTTCTCTTGTCTGAAATTTCAGCACCTTAGGAACTGCTAAATTAATGTGCTTTTGTGTATTTGGTATGTTACTGGTGTTGATTTCTTTTGTTTGACGATTATTTGATCTCGGGTTACTGGATTTTTGCTGTTACGACTGAATTTATAGTTCTTTTTTATTATTCCATTATTTTTTATTGATGTATTCTAACTACAACTGTCTTGTTGTCATGGTCAGATCTTGAGTTCTTGGTGTTCCTTTCTTTGGTGATCATCTTGTCCTTGAAGTTCTCCATTGAAGTTGTACATTCAAACACTACACTTAGGACTTAGGTGGCATCTGATCCTTTCACAGCCTGCAGTTCAAGGATTAAATATAAGTAAGCTTCAGGCACATCACCCAAAACTAGTACAGGTGGAGTGGCCTTAGAGCATCAAACTGATGTTTAATCTCAGAACCACACCGGTTAGTGTGTGATTTCTTTGCTTCTGGGTTTTGTTGGTTACGCTTTGAAGGGACCAACCTGCTGCCTCAGCATTGCGGCAATGCATCCTGGCTTTGTGACCTCGACCACCTTTCATGGGAGAGGTTAGGCGGCTTTGAGTCAGTCTTTGTTGCGGTGGAAAGCTGACATTTGTCACTCTGGAGACCAGCTGAAAACCTCCATGCTGCTGGAACTTAAACCTTTTGGAGATTAGAAATTGAACACTTCTTTTCTGCTTTCCATGTATAGCTGCCAAGTGTCAAACTTATTTGTACTTGAGCATAAAATTTCTGCATCTGAAAGTCATATGCATTACATTCATCTTCTTCGGTTAAGAAATTTGTCATTTTTCATATTCAAATTCTTTCATTATGTTCTTTCAGCGGTTTGCTCCTGCGGCAAAAGAACTCCAAGGTGTCATTTATGCCTGTGGTGGCTACAGTGGACATGAATACTTGAAGTAAGATTATACCCTTCATTTGTTTATTTTCCTGCAGAGAGTTCTGTGCATTTAATAAAATAGAAAGCTCTAACATTCATCCAGGCACATATGAACATTATCAGAATATTAGCATGGAAGCCATCATTAAGAATATAAGATGAGACAGTGCACACAGTATTTCTAGTCAAGAATAAGCTTAAGAGTTCTCATTCTGGGAGTATCATGTCAATGGTGCATTCCACATGGGATATTAATTGTCTTACCAGCTGATGAAAATTGTAAAGCAGCCTAGCATTTCTTTGGTAATTGTCACGAAAATAGATGTGTGATTTTTTTTGTGGGAAAAAGGCAATCGTTTATGGTCCGAGATCGACAAAATTGTATGATAAATACTATACTAGATTGTGCATGCCTGCTCAAGCTCTCTGGCAATATTCTCAGGTCAGCTGAAAGATTTGATCCCCGGGAGGGCTACTGGACCAAGATCGCAGACATGAACCGGAGAAGAGGTTGTCATTCGGTGGCAGCACTGAAGGGGAAGCTGTAAGTTTACACCCTCACCATTGCCACTCTAAAGTGGTACTGCTCTCTAAGCTTAGTCTCCTGTTCTCAGATATGCGATTGGGGGTTACGATGGGGAAGAGATGGTTTCGAGCGTCGAAGCTTACGAGCCTCGCATGTCCTCCTGGGCGATGGTCGAGCCGATGAAGGCTGTCAGGGGTTATGCTGCGACGACTGTTCTTGGAGGTTCTATATATGTGATTGGTGGTGTCAAGGATGGAAAGGTCATCTTGGACACGGTAATGCTGTGTCTGCTCCTTCCTTCCTTCTCCATGTTTCAGGGTCCAAAGCGTTAAACGGTTAGACATACGATGGCAGGTGGAATCCTACAGAGAGGAAAGCGGGTGGTGTGAGACGGGGCTGAAGGCGGTGGGGAGACGGTCCTTTTGCTCGGCCATCGTGATTTGAGCCTCATCTCATCGTCCATGGTGTTCTCCTCTCCTTCCGGCTTTGTACAGGTCACCCCTCTGCGAACTAGATAACATGGATCCTTCTACAGCTGACTTACTATAGTGTCATTAGAAGATACAATAGTTTTAGAACACAGAGCGAAGAAACAGCAGCAAAGGGCATGCAGAAACAAATTGGCATAAGAAAGCATCTCCTAAATCTGCAGTACTCCTCTAATCTGCAGAACATTCCAGAAGACTTTGTAAACCCTTTTTCCATAGAATAATAGCATAGCTTTAGGAAAAGAAAATAGCATCATATGACAATGTAGAATGATCTTCCGAGAGGATGTAAGATTGCATCAGGAACTAACTAGAGAGAAAAGTTCTTCCGAGAGGCAAAATGTACACATATAAGGACATACCAAAAAGAACATAACCCCAAAGCACCACTTGAAAGAATAACTATCTTTAATAAAAAGCATCATAATCCCTAAAAGGGGAACTTGATAATGTCAGCCACATGCAAATATAAGTAAAGAAGGATGATGTAGATGAATTTTAAACTGAGGATGCTGATAACAATTAAGTACTTTCTGTAGCAATAAATGATTTCAGGCAAACTCCCAAGTACATTTATACATGGAAAATGAACAATGCATGCTACAGATTGTATCCATTAGGAAGAAGGCAGAAATTTGAAGTCCAAATAACTAGTTTGAGGAATGGCCACTGGCAATTGGTTCATGGATTTATTAGCTAAAGCAGACTCTTGTAGATAGCCAGGGATAGCATGTCCACAGAATTGTTGCCAAGCTATATGTACTATCGGGAAAAGAAAAAGTCTTAGCTTAAAACACAACCAAGCTATATCGATTGAATGAACTAAGAATCAACCATAAATTGCGATTTCTCAAAGGTATGACAATAAATTGATCTAAGATACCAACTGAGAGATCTCAAGTGAAGTTGCTCAGAGTATAAGAAGAAGAAGGCGTAAGCACGACCTGCTCAAGAATTCTGGCTGAACTCTCCTCCGCAAGGCTGGCCAAACTTTCGAGTTGAAGTAGCATCTTTCCATACAAATCTTCCAATTCTGAGGTGTACCCTGTGGCCGCAGGCCCAACAAGCCTCTCTAATCTCTCTGCCCCAAACCCCCCTCTGTCGACGAATCCAGCGAATGCTGCTCCCTGGCCAACTCCTGGAGACGGTGCAAACTCTCGCCCCCTCCTCTCTTGTTCCCCATCTCCCGTTCCCCGTCCTCCGGCCCCCTCAGCTGACACGGCATCCATGGGAAGGATAACACCGGAGAGAAGGAGCCGTACTGCACCCCGAACGCTGGCCAAACTTTCTCCTTCCAACCCTTGTGTTGGAAGTACACCACTGACTTTGAATCCCGTTAGAACGGTTAGGTTCTAACCACTCCTATCGCACAGTTAAAAATAAAGAATAAAAAATTTATAGATCGGAGTAATACCGATACACTAGTATTCTTCGATAAACATAATTAAATGGTACTACGAGTTAGATATCATCTAAGATGATGAGATCTTCTACCATTGGAGGTAAGGTATTATCGAGTAAACGGGAAGACGAAGTCCCGCGTTAGGAGCATCACAAGACAAGCAAAAGGACCTGAGTATGGGGTTGAATAAAATATTTAGGGACTTGCAAATCAAACTTGGGATAAAATATTTAGTTTATAAGTGCTCCAGAAGTGGTGCACTCACTGTTAAATCATTATCATGCGAGTTTTTCAAAGACTCTAGTTCCTGAAGAACCTTCGGGTTCATAAGAATGGCTTCCCCCAATGAAGGGGAGGTTAGGACCTCCTCCACTCTTGTGTTATCCAAAGACACAATACGAACCTCAATTGTTTGATAGAAAGGAAATCAGGAGGAACTTTTGCAAGAAAAAAAAGACATCTTGACCTGAGTAGGCAAAAGAGCAAGACGATGGAAGATAGATTTATTGCAAAACTGATGTCGGGACTACGAGAGACTCGAGGATTGACTCGCCCTATAAAGAACCGAGGCGAAGTAGAGATAGCTTATAAGGAGACCCTGGAGGCAAAGTAGAAGGCTTTTAAAAAGGCTCTAGAGGTTCAAATGGAAGAATGAGTCTCATTCTACATGGTAAAGGAGGATTTATTAGGAGGGAATCTCTCTCTCTCTCTCCCACAATTGAGACAAGTGTCCCTTAGAGATTCGAGACAATTCCAAAGGGACACCGATAGATGAAGGACTCGAAAAGCGTTAAAATTCATTACGACAAAATAAGGTAAAATGTATCCGAGACTTGTGAGTTGAGAAATCTCGGCCTGCAAGTAGAGAAATTCATCACGATAGAGGCACAAGGCTAAATGTGCTCGAGGCACGAGTTAGGAAAACCTAACCTATGTGAGGAGATATCTGTCACGGCAGAGGCACAAGGAAAAATATGCTTGAAGTGCATGAGTCAAGAAAAACCCGACCCGCTTAAGGAGAAATCCGTCACAACTGAAGCACAAGACAAAGTGTGCTCGATGCATGTGACTCGGGAAAACCCATCCCGCATGAGGAGAAATTCGTCATGACAGAAGCACAAGGAAAAATATGCCCGAAGCATGAGTCGAAAAAACTCAACCCATGTGAGGAGAAATCTACCACGACGAAAGCATAAGACAAATTGTACACAAGGCGTGGAAGTCAAGAGGGGCAACCCCACCTCCATTCGAGGTGTGAAGGTCGAGAATGTCAACTCCCACCTTCATCTAAGGCGTGGAGGTCACGAAGGGATGGGAAGGTTGGAAAACCCGACCTCCCCCAACCAATGTGTACCCTTCGATGCCATAAGGGACAAGTCGGCAATGGATCGCCACTAGCAACGATGGAGAGGCAATCCTGAACACACTTATTTCGGATGAACTAAATGTCGTACTTCAAACCTCTCTTGCAAAAGCCCCAAAGCACACCTTATGGGGGAACAAATGTAGGGAGTATACTATTAGCTAATTATAATCCAATATGTAACCATCACGTGGAGTCCTCGGAAATGATCTAGGTCACCTTCCACCAATTTGCTTGCATGGATAAAAGTTCAAAATAGGTTCAAGATAGGCAATTTGAGGTTGTCTCCTCTCTTATGGACAAGAGCCCAAGAGGGGATCGTTGGGGGTGATTAGAGAGTGTCTCCCTATATAATATTTCATGAAATATTCTACTCATTTATGACTAGGTATAAAAGCTCATCTTCAACATAATAAGAATTGAGCTTACTTTTTCTGACTATTCGGGTTCGCACTCATATATCTTGAGTTATTAATTTGGGTACCAAAGGGATCGGGTCAGAAAACCTCTCTTGATCTCGATTTTTATACAGGAAGGAAATCGGGAGCTTGGTGTTTCCACCTTAAAAGCACCTTAGATAATCTTACATTTACAGATTCGGACTATGTTGGACTGACATAGACGTCAATGATATTTTTCCTCGTTACTTCTCAATAGATCTGTACAATGGGAAAAAGATAGAACATTTTATTTCTAAAAATATTCTTAGAAGTCGAAGGAGAAAATGAGAAGTTTTTTTTAAATTTTTTAAGAAATATAAAAAATCATTGGTTTTTTTGGGAAGAGTTGTCTTACCCAACGAATGCTGCACCTCTATTAGCCAATAAGAAATCCGGTAATCAATGCGGGTAGGAAAAGTACCGATCCGAAAACGCAAAGCACTCGACGCTTCTCCAATAAAACAACTAAAACAGAAAGAAAAATAGACTGTACAACAAAAACGCAGCGCCGACCTGTGTTTTGTGTGGGGAGACTGTTTTGGGCTTCCGTTTCCAACCATGCCACCGCCTCGATCTCACCCACAGTAGTCTGTCGTCCGCTTCCGATCGCCATGGCCGCCGCCGCCGCCATACCCGACGGCGACGGCCACCCGCTCTTTTCCAAGATCTCCATCTCCGGTCCCGCCCTCGCCTCCATCATCGAACGGTTCGCTTCCTCCCCTGGCGATATCGACGGCCTCCTATTCGGCCACGTCACTCGCCTCCCCCCTCCCGACCCTCGAGACGACGACGGTGGCCATGGTTCCCCCAACTCTTCCGCCGGATCCGCCGCCGCCGCCGCCAACAGCCCCCTCGCCGCCACCATAACCGGCCACCTTTCCCTCGCCTCCCGCGCCTCCTTCTACGACGCTCTAGGCCGTCTCATATCCCCCTCTCTCCGCAACGCCGCCTCCTCATCCGGTCACCCCGCCGCCTCCCTGCTTGGATGGTTCTCCGGCCGCCGCCGATCTCCTCTCCGCCCCTCCATGCGGGAGCGCGCCGTCTCCCTTTCCCTCTTTCGAACCCCAGATCTCCTTGATACTAACGCCCCTCCTGATCGCTCGCTTGAGTCCCTCGATCTTCCCCATCGGCCTTCCATCTTCCTCCTCCTGTCCTCCTCGACCACCGGAAACCAAGCGGTCCACACCCACGAGTACAGGGCCTTTGCCCTTCGCCTGAGGGCCGGCGGCGTTGGCGGCGTCCTTGAGCCGAGATCTCTGGACATCGTCAATGTGGGGCCAGCGTTCAGGGCGCAGTACAGCTCCTTCTCTCCGGTGTCAGCCTTTCCATGGATGCCGTGTCAGCTGAGGGGGCTGGAGGAGGGAGAACGGGAGATGGGGAACAAGAGAGGAGGGGGAGAGAGCTTGAACCGTCTCCAGGAGTTGGCCATGGAGCAGCATTTGCTGGATTCGTCGACAGGGGGTTTTGGGGCAGAGAGATTAGAGAGGCTTGTTGGGCCTGCGGCCACAGGGTACACCTCAGAATTGGAAGATTTGTATGGAAAGATGCTACTTAAACTCGAAAGTTTGGCCACGCTTGTGGAGGAGAGTTCAGCCAGAATCCTTGAGCAGGTCGTGCTTATGCCTTCTTCTTATACTTTGAGCAACTTCACTTGAGATCTCTCAGTTAGTATCTTAGATCAGTTTATTGTCATACCTTTGAGAAATCGCAATTCCTGGTTGATTCTTAGTTCAGTCAATCGATATACCTTGGTTGTGTTTTAAGTAGTTTACGTGCAAGCTCTCCTCCTATAATTCAGGTGAAAAAAAAATCTAGCGATTAAGAGAAGCTATTGTATCTGAGTTTGCAGATGTTGTGCTAAGGTTTCTCCCTTGATGACTTTATATTTAGCTAAGACTTTTTCTTTTCCTGATACCACATGTAGCTTGGAAACAATTCTGTGGACATGCTATCCCTGGCTATCTTCAGAGTCTGCTTTAGCTAATTAATCCATGAACCAATTGCCAGTGGCCTTTCTTCAAACTAGTTATTTGGAATTTAAATTTTTGCCTTCATAATAGATACAATTTGTAACATGCATTGTTCATTTTCTATAACCAATTTTTTTTTCCATGTATAAATGTACTTGAATCATTTATTGCTACAGAAAGTACTTAATTGTTTAGTGAACTTGATTGTCGCATGAACTTTATTGTTTAGTGAAATCATTTATTGCCACAGAAAGTACTTAACTGCGTAAGCTAGGTGTCTAACCAACTTGATCTAGGCAATTAGGAGAATAGGAAAGAAGACTTTGAAGTAAAGAAGAACTTGATTGTTTATTGAAAGATCAGTAGAGCAGTGAAAAGAACTTGGTTAACTTTCTTTACCATGTCAAGTACCTGGACTCATGTAGAATACAGTTATTATGACTTTCTATGGAATCTGTGCATATTGGAAATATATTGATAGTGTTTGGTAGGTGAGATCAGGCTGTCTGACTTACATGTTTAGTGCAAATATGAGATATTTAATGAAAAATGGTTGCAATAGTGCTAAGTTACAGTTGCTTCAGGCATTGGTCACCAGCACTGACAGATAGCTTATGTTTGGGTTGTCGTGAGAAGAGATGAAGACCAGTGAAAACATTATAAAAGCAATGAGGATATATGGTCTTTCCATTATTTGGAGGAAGTGGCTTCATAGTGGAAAATGGTGGTAACAGGTTCATGCAGCCATCTCAATATGTTGGGATTTGAAACTCAGTTGCTATTGTCATTTAACTTCTGCTTCATTGTTCTCGTCATTTTCACTTTAGTTTCTGTTGTTTTCATGTTTTGCTGCCAACAATGACCTAAATTCTTTTTATAATAATTGAGATCCTATTTGTTGTCATCATCCTCATTTTAGAATTCATCTACTTCATCCTTCTTTATTATATCTGGGTGTGGCTGACATGATCAGGTTCCTGTTTTAGGGATTATGATGGTTTTTGTTAAAGACAGTTACTCTGACTTTTGACAGGAAGGCCGAATTTCTGAATTACGAAGCAGAGTGGAAGGATTGGAATGAAAACTTTTCAGTTGAAGTCTTTCATGTGGTACTTTGTTGTTATGATCTTTTTGGTTTTGCTAATGATTAATCTCCATTATTTGGTATCTCCTTGTATGTGTACATTTTGCCTCTCGGAAAAACATTTCTCTCTAGTTAGTTCCTGGTGCAACCTTACATCCTGTTATTATATTTTGATTAAATTATCATCATTCTACATTGTCTATTTTCTTTTCCTAATGCTGTGCTATTATTCTATGAAAAAAGGGTTTACAAAGTCTTCTGTGGGGTCATATAATTCTTTGCGAGTTTTACAATCTTAGTTGGAAATTTTGCTTTTTGATCGACACCAATTTTCTCTGTTTTCTGAAAGTTAAAGCTTTTCTTGAGCTTATCTTATATACGGAAGAACATATTTAAGTTGCATCCATATATCATTTTTCTTGTATGGAAACCAAGTCAAGTCACCAAAAAAATAAACTACATGCTAATTTAGGTTACAAGAGGCCACAATTTCATATTGGATTGATATTGTGTAGATTTTTATATTTGTTGTGCTGGTACAAACCAACTGATTCTGTTCTGCATTCTATTTTTTTTTTCTTTCCGAGGCATTTTAACAGTCTGGAGAATAACATGCTGTTATATATTGCTTTACCTCCATAAACTGTAAAACCCGGTACATACGAACTTTGAGACCGTAGTAGCAGCATCGAATCACGACTATGCATATCTGTAATCCGATGTCTAACATTTTTCTTTTAGGGCTACATCAAGTTCAAAATGAGGGCTGGACAATTAGGAAGAGAGCTTGATTTAAGCAGACTGGAATGTGCCATCACATCTTGTTGCTTGACATGCTTGTGTTGTGAATGGTAAGGACTTTGACTTGCTGATTTTGGTCATGGACATTAGAGAAGTACTGCTGCAGATTTACAATCTAGAAGATGCTTTCTTATGCCAATTTGTTTCTGTTTGCTCGCTGCTGCTGTGTCTTCGATTTTGTCCTAAAAATATTTTTGTTATTGCTTGGGTTAGTCCATTCTCGATTGGCCTTTTCCCATGAAAAAGTATTACGCATATATTTGTGCCCATATTTGTTTATGCGTGTGCAATGCAACGCACATATTTGTGTCCATATGGATTTGTGCTCGTGCAGTACAACGCACATATAAGAAAGGCAGGTTTTTTGGTTTTAGCCGCAGATTCTAATATATATCTAAATCTTCTAACACAAAACACCTAAACGAACTCAAATGGGACTTTCTCACTAGAATCCTACCTTTTACTGGTACTGCCCAATTTTTTGATGTTCTTAAAGAGTCCAATTCGAATGTCACAATTGATTAGGAAAATAACAAAGTAATTTTGAAAGCAGAAATATTGAAAAAGAAGTGTTGTGTTGTATGCTTAGGATAATAAGATATATGTTTTTTAAATTTTAATTTTAATTTTTTATGTGAATTGAAGATTGTTGTCTTAGTAGTATAATCTTAAATGCATAAATATTTTAAGTTGGATTTTTTATCAATTCATAACTCAAAAGAAGTTAATGAAATTGATTTATTAGTAATCATTCAAGATATACATAATTGTATTGAAAGATTTTTTTATATTAATTCGAGTATATAATAATAATCTATCACGCTCCTAGTTATATTTGATTTTATTTTTTAGTAATCTTATCTTGTCGTGACATATTAAGTAAATCATACTAAGCATAAATATTTTTTTTAGAAATCTAACAAAAGAACTAAAATTATGATTGAGTTTATCATAATTATCATAAAATTTGATTTTTTGTCTAATTATTTTTCAATTTCATTTATGTATATCTAAATATGATCTTACATAAATTTTATATATATATATATATATATATATATATATATATATATATATATATATATATCGTTTTAAATTTTGAATTATATTGAGTTTATGACCGTCAAGAGATAAATAATATCTTGACAATTCTAGATAAAAAAATTAAATTTCAAGAATTATGAGAACATAATATATATCCTCGAGATCCATTAAATAAATTATTTTTAGGCATAATCTCTAAGTGTAGGTGATAAGTATCATTTACTATCGTTTTCATTTTAAGATGATTCTTTGTAACGATAAATATTTTTCATATTTAAATAATTTTTTTATTATTGGTAATATATATTGAAGGGTTAGAATTGATACAACAAGTATTAAAATATAATTTTGTAACATTTTATTTGAAATATATAAAGGTTATATTTATATTTTTCTCTTTCAAATCAAATTTATATATTTTTTTCACATAACCTTCCTTATCACAAAAATAGCACTTTACTACTAGAGTTTATATAATATTTATAAACTTAGGTGATTTATGTTTTAATTTTTTATTATTATTACCAACTCCAATAATACTTAAAATATTATGAGTCTTTCTTGTTTTAATCTTAATTCTTTCTAAACACATATATTAGTTGACTTATTTAAGTTTATTTATCTTTAATTTTATTATAGTAAATTCTAAATGAGTAAAATTAAAAAAATAATTAAAATAAATTATATGAGAAATGACTCAATTATAATCATGCGTGAGTTTACAACTTTGTCAATCATATTAAGGATATAATCTTGTGTTCCTCTAATAGTATCATATTAAATTTCAATCAATTTTTTCATTAACATATCAGTCAATGATTTGTTAGTAAATTTAAATTGATTTTTAACATCTTTTCATAAATAAAAATCAATTAATAACTCTTGGTGAGTGAAATGTGCTTACAAATAGATATAACTTATTTGATTTCAAAACCATTATATGTTATTATTAAGCAGAAGGTTATTAATGCGAAAATCTAAAATTAAATAGATCTCTAAATTTACTATGTGTACCTTTCGATGTTTCTCAAAAAGTCTTTATCTAATCTGTAAGCATATCATCATTGTATTCAAAATCTATAGTAATACTGATTTGCAAAGAAAACTAGGCTTGTCTTCTCTTCTTTTCCTATCCTTTGTAAGATAACTATGATTGATGGATTTAGGGACAAATAAAATATGAGAGAAGATTTATAATATCTCATTGATTGGTTCACGTAACTAAAGGTAGATGAGAGAAGATTTATAATCTCTTAATTATGTCATGTATTCATACATATGTATATCTACATATCTACGTATTTAATTATTATATGTTGAGTCTCTAAGAGATAATATCGTGAGAGTAACTAAAGGTAGATGAGAGAAGATTTATAATCTCTTAATTATGTCATGTATTCATACATATGTATATCTACATATCTACGTATTTAATTATTATATGTTGAGTCTCTAAGAGATAATATCGTGAGAGTAGAGGTTCTAGGATGAGTAGTTAGAAAGTTCTTCTCGTGAAGATGGTATAATAATTAGACTTCTTTTCTATTGGACTGAATCTAATCATATTCATAATATATCTTATCTTATTAGATTGAATCACATACGGATATCATATCATCTAGTGCCTTTCACCTAAAAAAGAGTTATCATTCCAAATTAGTAAGAAAATACTGTTGAATCATTAAACAAACTAAAAAAACTAATAGCAAATAATGCATGTTATAAAGTAAAGAAAAGATAAATGATTCAATTATGAAAGGTTCACCTTTTACGGCACGCGTGGGAATCAAATTAGATACCAGCCGTGGTTAATACATTCACCTAGAATTAAAAATTAGAACCTTCATGCCTTGTTGTTTTATAAAACATGTGTTCCCTGTAATTCTAAAGCTTTTAAGCTAACATCTTTGCATTATTCGCACAAAAAAAAAAAGGGAAGAACATGAGAAACCTGCTCGAAAATTCATGATGAAAGAATGGTACAAACTTCGTGATAGGGATCAATGCTAAACCCCACAATCGTCCACCTATACAAACTCTTCCTTCCAATCGCACAAATGCTATGAACATCTCCGCACCCCAAAAACCTAGACAAACCCATCCAATTAGCACACCACAAGAAGAAAGCAATGATAAGCACTGAAGGTACACGATGAAGAAAGAACGGATACCTGCAACGCGTCCAGAGGACTCGCAACACTGCTCGGAAGGACACACAAAACAAAGAAGGGTTTACCGTAGTAGAGAAGAAAGGGATGGGTTATATGGTGAGAAATAGAACGCGGATTTCAAGAGAGAGTGAGAGAGAGGGGCGAGAGGAAGGAGAAAGGATAGAGAGAGAGAGAGAAGCGGAACGAGAAGGGCCTCATGAAATATCGATCTCCCCGCATCGCCAAGGCAATTGAATCGTCGGTGGGTCCTACCGATACGATTCGCAACGTCTTCACCCTAACTTAGGTTCCGTACGTGCGTAGCACCACGTAATTAGAATTTCCCCGGTCCAAGCACGGCCGGTAAGATTAAAACCGATGCTTCGTCCCCGCTACTCGAAAGTTCCATACGGTGGTAGCAGTGACATGAACCGGAAATGCTCCTTTGGTTCGTTCCTTATTTAGCCTCACGTATCCATCTGTGGGGCCGAGGCCGGGCTCACATTGGGCGAATTGTTTTCATTTTTCATGTTAGTCTCTTCCTGCAATAGATAATTTTAATAATTTTATATTTTAGAAAATATATTTAAAAAAATCTTTTACTGATGGAGATGGGCATATCTCTAATATGACTCGTACATTCTCAGGATTTACGTCTATTCCCCTCTGATACATAATAAATCGAACGAACTTTCACTGGTAAAACGTATTTGGTTGAATTGAGACGTATGTTGAATTTCATTAAAACTATAAATGTTTCGGCCAAGTCTACTAAATGCTAGTCATTCTGCTTTTGACTATAATATCATCTATATACACTTCAACATTTCTCTCAATATGATAATTAAACATCTTTTTCACTATCATTTGCTACGTCGCTCCTACATTTTTTAATCTAAATGGTAAGACTCGGTAGCAATACATGCCTCGATTGATGATAAAGGAAGTATGTTCCCGATCCTTTGGTGTCATCCTTATTTGGTTATATCATAAAAATGCATCTATAAAGGTGAGGAATTGGTGACCCAAGATAGTATCAACCAATTAATAAATACAAGGAAAACGATAGCTATCCTTCAAACATACTTTGTTGAGATTATAATCAAAATACATTCTCATATTTCTATTAGATTTTTTAATAAGTATAACATTGGTAAGCATCGGTGATATTGCACCTCGACAATAAACTTTACTCCTAATATCTACTTCATCACTAATAGCTTACTGATGGTCAAGAGTAAACTTGTGAGGCTTTTATTTCACTGGTCATGTCTCAAGAGAAATGTTCAAGTGATGTTGAACTACGTTTAGGTCGATTCTTGGTATGTCTCTTAGTGATCACACGAACACCTTGACGTTCCCCTTTAGCAAATTGATGAATTGTATTAGTTTCTCCTTCGGCAGCGTTGTCCCTACCTTGATAACTTAATTGGGATAAGCTTTGTCTAGGGGTGCTTCAATTAGTAATTTCGCTGGCTCTGGATGCAGGGGGGACTTAGCAAAATCTCAATGGTCCATAGGTGGCATCTCGAGTCTGGCTTTATTTGGTAGGGAGACCGCCGTAATGTAGCATTGACGTGAATCCCTCAGATTACTTTTCAACACTCCAATGTCAGTCCTTGTTGAGAACTTCATTATTGTATGGTAGGCCAACACCACTACCCTTATTTTGTTCAGTGTGAGCTAAACTATGATTGTATTATATGTCGAGGGGATATCAACGACCATGAATCTGTTAACACCATTTTGGAGGATGTCACTCATCCCCAAATGTAACATACAGGTTCATAATCCTAAGATCGGAGATCGAGTTACCAATGAATCTCATCAGTAAAGAAGTCATAGGGGTGAGGTCATTAGTCGAGAGATCGAGTTTTTAGAAAGTATCAAAGTAGAGGATATTAGCATAGCTACTTGTATTGATCATGATTCTCTTCACTCGAGTGTTGATCATCCTCACGAAGTCTACCAAGGCATTATCATGGTTCGGGTCAAAGTTATATCCTTTCTTCCTCCTTGAAGGTTATTTTCGCGTTGTCCCCTGTCCTTGGAAACTTTTCAATAGTAGCTTTGGCATATGCTTTGTGATTCGAGTAGCTATCTACTCCCAATGTGGGTTTATCAATGATGATGCCAATCTATCTCTCCATCGATCCCTTGAGATCGGGGTGAAAGTTCTCGGTGTCTTCGGACGAACCACCCAAGGTGTCCCTAACATATAAGTTTTTTAATATGCTCTTTTAAGTCACGATAATCCTCCATGTCATGATTATAATCTCGATAGAAGTAGTAGTATTTGGATCCATCTCTTTATGATAGTAAGGTCTTCATTGGTTGAGGGTCTTTTAATAGCCCTTTCTCTTTTATTTATAAAAAAATTAGTTTTAGTCGCATTGAGGAGGGTCAGCTCAAATCTCAGGTGAGGCAACTTAGGTTGTTCGTTTCTCCTTCGCTTCGCTGTGGTGCTCTCGAGGTCGGAGCGAATTACAGCTGCTCGTATCTCAACCTTTTGCGTGACTTCTCATGCTTACCCAAGACCATTGCCTCAACGGTAGTATATTAATTGATTCTCTGAAGTACCTTTAGCACCATTGCCAATGGCTTCTCTATCAACGACCAGAAAAGACGAAAGAGCTTGAGTCCTATTATGAAAAATTATATTATGAAAGATGAATGAGCACTTTCCACTCTTCGAATTTCATTGGTGAACCGAGTGACGAAGTTTGAGAGCATTTCCTACTCCCCTTGCCGAAGTCCAAGAAGCATTGTCATCGATGGCCTCGAGCGCACATTCCCTAGGAAGTGAAGCTCGAACTACCTTGTGAGCCAAGCAAAAGAACTAATAGAGAGTGGCTTCAGATGGGTATATCATTCTCGTGTTGAACCTCTTAATATGGTCGAGAAGACATGGCACATCAGAGCATCTGAAGTGCCATACAATGACATTTGAGCACAAAAAGCAATAATGTGCTCTATCAGGTTGGTACTGCCATCGAATGCCTCCAAAAACATGAGGCAAAAGTTTGTAGAGATTAGTTCCTCTTGGATTTTTTTAGATGAATGGGGACCAACCTGAGGTGGGGTCAACCAGCGCTTCCCCTTTGGATTGTCAAAACTTTTATCTGATCTCCTCCAAGCGTCGGTCCATTTATCGTAGTTGGATTCGCAAGGAATCATCCGTCGAACTTGCCGATTGGGTCTTGAATTTAGGCAAGGTAGAGTGATGGTGTGGCCCATTGAATTCCATGGTTGGAGAGCAAAGTGCCCCCTCGGTCGATAGTTTGATAAGCCTCGGGCACTCTTGGGATGTCACATTGGGTAGGGGAACCTCGATGGGTGCTAGTGCCAATGGTGGTTGAGCTATTGATCACGGTTGAGTTGGGGCAAAAGTGGAGTAACGGCTTGTATCGTGCTCGTTATCGTCTACACTTACTTGGTGAGGTTTAAGAACACCTCAGTAGGGACGAGTAGGTGGCTTGGGATCATCCCCAAGGACGAGAGGCCCAAGTCACTGAATAGATGCTAGTATCACATCGGCGTTGTGCTGAGGTGGATGCATCCACATGCAGAAAAGGATGGTTGTTGCCCTTTTGAGTGAAAGTATTATAAGTCAAAGGACAAAGCCTCCTCGCTCAAGCACTTGTTGAGAGGGTTGGCAAACACACATTCCTATGATATTGGGCCCTCCTTCTAGCGTCAAAATGATGAGAGAAAATATCATTGATGTCTATGTCAGCCCGATATGGTCCGGACCCTTATATGCAAGGTTATCCGAGGTGCCTTCAAAGTGGAAACGTTGAGCTCTCGAGATACTTCTTGCATGAAGATCGAGATCGAGAGAAGTTTCCCGACCTAGTCCCTCCGACACCCAAGTTGGTAATCCGAGTTATATGAGTGCAAATGCGAGTAGTAAAAAAAAAGTAAACCCTCTCATTATCATGTTGAAATCCAGTTTTATACCTAATCACAAAAGATCAAAATATTTCATAAAATATTATATGGGGAGACAACCTCTAACTGCCCCAATAGTCGGTCTTTTATCTACGTGGGCCACAAGAGAGAGTACAATCCCGAACTACCTGTCTTGGACCTGCTTTGAACTTTTGTCCATACGCACTGACAGATGAAAAGTGACCTAGATCCTTCTCCTCCGTCACATACTCTACATGACAACTATGTATGGATGACCATAGCTGATAGTATATTCCTTATCAAAGGCAAAAGATTTGAAATCGGCTTCTTGTGAGTTTCGATGAAATGAGATACTACATGTTCTTTCTCAAGACCTTATACTAACACACCGAGTACATGCCATAGAGCAGCATAATTGGCAGGAGAAGAATGACTGAGATCAACGATAACCAAAGCCGACATGTATATACATAATTCGACTAACGTTATTGTGACATAAAGCTGCAACGAATTAATGTAATGAATTCATATAGATTCTCGGCTAATCTATGCTCGTTGATGCTGCAGTAGCGGAGCCACCGTCGTCGCCGGAGCCGGTAGCGCCCCCAGCAGCATCCGGTTTGATCTCCTCCAGCTGCTGTAGGACTTGCTGGACCTCCGGCCGGGCCGCCGGTGACGGATCGACGCAGTGCAGGGCCAGCTTCAAGGCGTTGAGCAGTTCGTCCCCTGTCGTCGTCCCCTCCGCGTCTCTCATCAGTTCCAGGTCGAACACCTCGTTCGTCCACTCCTCTTTCACGGTCGAGGCCACCCAACGTGGCAGGTCCATGCCGTTCATCACCTCCCCTGGTGACTTACCTGTCAGGAGCTCGAGCATGATGACTCCGAGGCTGTAGACGTCGGTCTTCGTGTTGGCCTTCTTGAGCTTCGACAGCTCCGGAGCTCGGTATCCGAGCACACCGGATGTGGCGATCACAGTTGAGCTAGCAGCGTTGGTCATCAGGCGCGAGAGCCCGAAATCGGAGATCTTGGCGTTAGCGCTCTCATCGAGGAGGACGTTGCTGCTTGTCAGGTTGCCGTGGATCATGTTTAGGTCGCCGTGAAGGTAGAGGAGGCCCCCGGTTATGCCCTTGGCTATCTTCATCCTCGTAGGCCAATCTATCGATATCTCAGGTCCCCGAGCTGCGTTAGCGAAACAGAGAGTATCGTATCAATATACCACCTTCGTTCTCATAGTAAAGGTGATGAAGAAGAAACTATGTTGAGCTTACCATGTAGAAAAGCTGCAAGGCTTCCCTTATGCATGAAGTCGAAGACGAGAAGCTTCTCCCCTTTGGGGCCTAAGTAATAGGCTCGCAGAGACAAGAGATTCTGATGCCGAACCTTCCCAAGCTCACTAACCTCCGCCTCGAACTCCTTCTGGCTCTTGGTAATCTTCTCTCGCAGTCTCTTTACTGCAACTTGGTTCCCATCCTCCAAGGTGGCCTTGTACGCGGTCCCGTAAGTGCTCTTTCCCAATATCTCCGCCGTCGCGCACAGCAGATCGTCCGCAGTGAACGCCAGCTGGCCCTCGAAGTGGACCAGCTTCCCCCCGGCCTCCCCGCCGGACTCCACCTCAGCTCCTGAAGCAGCCCCGGGCTTTTCGGCTCTTCCTGTGGCAGCTGCATCGCCATCGGTTTTCTTGCCCGAGGACCTTCTTTTCCTGATCACGCACCACAGCAGAACACAGCAGAGCAGTAGCAGCACAGCGAGGACTGCCCCTGCGACTATGAGAATGATCGCCCTTGTGCTCAGCTTAGCGTGAGGTTGCCCTGCAGAGTTGGATGGTGGAGGAAGATTTGGAGCAGGAGAAGAAGGACAAGGGACTGAACTGCTGTAACCACAGAGCTGAATGTTTCCTCTGAAAGAGCTCGAGTTAAACTTCTGGGCGAGGAGAAGAGGCACTTGGCCTGATAAATTGTTGTTCGATACATTGAACGAGGTCAGAGCAGTAAGGTGCGTCAAGGAGGCAGGGATCTTTCCGGTGAGGTTGTTCTCCGACAGGTCCAACTGCGACAGATTAGTGATGTTTCCAAGTGTCGCCGGTATCACACCGCCTACCAGGTTCCGCTTCAGTGACAGCACCGATAGGTTCTTGAGCCCGTCGATGGCGTCCGGTATCTGGTTGTCGATGTGGTTCCCCTCGAGATTTAATCGGACCAGCGACGACAGGTTGCACAGAGTAGCAGGAAAGCTTCCTCCTATATTGTTGTGAGAAAGATCCAAGATTTGAAGCATCGGCAGTGTGCCGATGTCTTCCGGTATGCTTCCGCTAAGTCGATTGTTACTGACTGTAATCTCTGTGAGCATCCGTAGCCTGCTGAGGGAGATGGGGAGATTCCCACTGATGGAGTTGTAATCAAGATACAAAGTCTGCAGCTGATAGACTTGGCTGCCGCCGTTGGTCGCACCCCAAGTGTCAGGGACGGGACCAGAGAGATGGTTATGTTGAAGTGAGAGGAAGGTGAGCGAGGCGGAGCGAGTAATGTTCACGGGGAGGGCACCTGAGAGATTGTTGAAGCTGAGGTTCAGCCTGTACAGCTTGGTGGAGTTGGCAATGGAAGAAGGAATGCTCGCGGTGAGCGAGTTGTTGCTGAGATCGACGGTCTGGAGCACGACGCAGTTGCCGATGGACGGAGGAATGGCGCCGGAGAAGCGGTTGTTGAAGAGGTAGAGGCCTCTGAGGTCGGGCAAGAAACCGATGGCCGAAGGGATCTGGCCGCCGATGGAGTTGTCGTGGAGGCTCAGCTTTCGTAAGGCGGAGAGCTGGCCGATCTTCTCGGAGATGTGGCCGCCGAGTCCCCTCCAGGGGAGCTGGATGGCGATGACCTTCCCCATGACGCACTTGATCCCCAACCAGGCGCCGGAGCAGGCATCGAGGCCGGTGTCATTCCAGCTGCGAAGGAGGCCCCGGGGGTCATCCAAGGCGTGCTTGAAGGCCTGGAGGCCTTGGTAGTCGGCCTGGCTGATGATGATTCCGTCCCAGGACTCGATGGAGGCCCGGCTGGGGAGAGCCAGCAGCAAGGAGAGGGCAATGTGGAGGTGAAACAGCATCGAAATCCGGTCGAGCTGAAAGTGGCGAAGGCTGCTCCTGGTGGCGGAGTGCTGATACGGAGCTGCCTTGGAGCTACGCTGCTTCCGTCTCTCCATGTTCCCTTCCCTTGGGTTTTGGCATTGTTCCAGCCACCTCTTCATTCGCATGCTAACTTGGGAAGGAGACAATAGGAGAAAGAAGAAGAGGAGGGATGAGTAGCGATGAGGATGAGAAGGTCGGAAGTCCGCTGATCTCCTTGCTTGAGATGTTTGTTTTGTTTGGGATGAGGGAATCAGGGAAGAAGGCTATATCCTTATTCTAACGGCTAGTCTGCCTCCTGTTCCTCTCTCTCTTTTTTTTTTTTTCCCTCTCTTTCGTGTAGCCAAGTGTAGTGATGATGATGGGCGGCGTCTGGCAGTAGGGTTGTGGGAGGAGGTTAGAAGGGGCTATAGCGACACCGAGTGACGCTCCCACTCGGTCATAACGGCTACATTGTTTGAACGGGTCCACGCAGCGGGTCGGTGCGGTCTCCCTCGTCGATGGCATCCATCGCACATTGGAGGAAGACAGGAGGGAGATGTGACCGTGGAGATAACTTGGGAGACGCAGCTTCGATGATGTACGAGGATGAATGGATCCATCCATCTCCCGTCTTCACTTTGATGTGGAAGATATGATGACATATCTCTTGATTTTGCATTTCGGTGTTTTTATTTTCCTAAGTGTACTATCAAGACATATTTACTCCTCCTGCCATCTAATGCCCAAACACCACCGTCAGATGCACCCGCTGCATATTCAATTAAACTAGAGAATAGTTGTCGATGGATGGATCACCAACAACGGTAAGTAGCAACAGCAAATGACTCCATAGTAGACCTGCGGGACGGTACTGGTGGAACCATTAGACATAAATTTTGCCTCCGCCCGCACTCGTAGCACTCGCTGCACACTCCCCCCCTTCTCCACCAACCCAATATTGCTAAGTCTCCTTGATTTCCTTTTTGACTCCGATAGAGAGAGAGAGAGAGAGAGAGAGCAGGGAGCGGCATAAAAAACACGACGTTCACAACCACGACAACGTTGGTTTGGATAACCCACGACGAGAGGCCAAGACGAAGGAAGATGCATCGACTCATTTCAGCTACATTTTTAACAACGAGCATATTCCCATCAGGGTTACGGAAGACGGAACAAAATAGAGGAGGACAAACAGGAGATCGTAAGGATGGTAGGCCAAAATCATAATAGCAAGTGTCTATAGTGGGTGTAGCAAACATTGATACCACCGCTGCACGATGTCATCATGTGGACATGTAGCAACATTGGGAATGAACCTACCCCAGTTATATTCAGTGGGCCTCCCTCCATTTCTTACTGATATAATAAACCAAAAGACAGTACGTAACCATACCCTACAGTTCCAAATCCATGAGAAAACTAATTGAAATATGTAAATTACTTGGTGAACTAAGTTCGGCTTTCATTTGAAAATTCCAGCAGTATAAAGTTGACCATAAAAGTACTTGCACATCATCAAAATGCCAGCCAAAGAAAAAACTTGACAGGGAATGTTCTTCAAATCCAAGAATACCATATCTCTAATATCCTTCCTAACTCACGTTGGAATGATGTGAAACATACAGATTTGTCAAACTCTTGTATGTCTGATACCTACGCTAAAAGCTAAAGTTGGCTGCAGTTGATGGAATCACAAATGGCCCTACAAATATGAAGTTTCTGTCAATTAGTACCTGTGGAAACACCCTTACCTACAACTCCAACAGAAGATTTGGCTCCAGTTGAATAGGCAAAACTTCTAACCACAAATGGGATCAATTAGTACATATGAGAACATGCCCTAATGGACACTCAAAAAGAACAGTATTAAGAGAATTGGTTGAAAGTTAGTAAGTGAGCTTTTGATGAAGTTAATCAAAGAAGAACGCATGTGAAACACAAACCCTAACATACACTGAAAAAGAAGCATTGCTATAGTTGACTTGGGTTAATAGACATACTTTTTAACCACAAATTGCGTTAATAAGATGACTAACAATTAATACCTGTGCAAACATGCGCTACACACACACTCAACAAAGAAGCACCAAAAGAAAAGGCTGCTTGATGATTTTCTTATAAAGTGATTTTCCGTTGCAAGTGCAACGAAATAATTAGCAGCAGAGACACCAACAACCTCTAGCAACTAGTTGACAACCTCATCTACTTATAAATGGCACTAATGAGAAGTTGAGGTCAATTAACACCTTCATAAAGCTTTCCTAGCAGGAGATTCAACCAACCTAAAAATCTTGATGCACAGAGCACTTGTGACTGAACACAGAAAGTATGAAAACTTACCAAGGACTTTTACATGACAGATAATATGAAATTCTTTCCCTAAAATTTCATGTTACCCTAGTGTTCCCAAGCAAAGTCACTTAGTTTTAGTCGTAATAAAAATATCCTTAATGAAGTAATTCTTGTAATTTACCCAGTCATGCTAAATTTAAAAGGAAAAAAGAAGTTCAACATGTTAACATTCATGTAACTAAACGAAACCACATTTTACAGAGCAATCGTGTTTAAGATTATAGAATAAGATGGCATATAGTTATACGAGATAGTAGGAATTAAGTAGCAATGACATAATTACATAACATAGTAGGAATTTTGCAGTAGTTAATGGATTGTACCAAGGTTTCTAATTTCAAATAATACTGCCAATATCGAACGGTATGTATTGGTCCGCCAGTAGACCGGTACGCAGACCACCCGCTACCGTCGATTGGAGTTGTTTCCGCCTCGTTACCACCCGCTACCCAGTGGTATTAGCCAAGGGAGAAGAAAGAAGAGGGAGAAGAAGAGGAGAACCTGGATATCCGACGCCGCTCTCCCTCCTTGTTTGAGGTGACAAGGCCTTGGCGTCGTCGACGACTTCTCATCCGTGCAGGGAGAAGAATCCTCGACGATGTCGCAGGGAGAAGAAACCAAGCGTCATCAAGGTGACGTTTCTTCTCCCCAAGCAGGCAAAAGAAACGAGGAGACGACATCGCCTCGTCTCTCTTTTTTGCACGAGGAGAAGGAAACAGTTTCTTCTCCCCACCTTCTCTTCACACAGGCAGAGATGAGGTGATGTCATCTTTTTTTATTATATATATATATATATATATACCGCTCGATATTTAATACCGTACTCGAACGAATCTCGAAACTTCGATACGGTATAAAATTTCAATCCTTAGATTGTACCCCCTACAAATTCTTGTAATTTGCAGTAGCACGATATGCGTACAAAAGTTCCATCTATCCAATCAGGATATTGGTAACCAACGAAGGAAAATACATAATTTATCCTTATTTCAATAGTATCTAACTTCCCAAAAAGATTTAAAAGATGTCATCCATAGGTTTACATGGTCACGTCAAAATGAGATTTAAAGTTAACATGATAATACAAGAATCCGAACTCCACGGACCTAGTTGGTAGGATCTCTTTTTGTGAAAGTCATGTAAATAATGCTTCAACCTGATAATGCCCAATGGAGCAAAACAGCAGAGACAAACTATGCAGCTAATCACAAAGTCTGATGTCTCAACCGGATTTCCTCATGAATGGAAGAAAAAAGCAACAAAGCATTAACAAAGAAGATAAACTGAAATTTATTTGACCAAACCATGTAGCTATCTCTCCTGTCAGGTGTAGATGTATGCATTATGTTATGGTGATGCATAAAAGTGTTATCATAAGAACTTGAATTGAACGAAAAAAAAAAAAGAGAGAAAAGAAGTATTTCGATAATGGAGATGCATCCATATAATAAGTCCCAGATACATAGGGATATAGAGAAACTACTTCAGGCACAAAAAAATCACAAGCATGTGCACACACCGTAGGTAGAACAACAATAAAAGAACTAATGTCCCAACTATTTGAGATTGACAGTACTACATGGACTCTTTTTCCACTACTGAGTTCTGTATTTTTAGTTAAATCAATAATTCCAAGATAAGTCTTCTTAACTCTCTTTTCATCTTAGTTAAATCAATACCATTCAATTTTTTAATATAATCCCTAGATAAGTCTTGAGTCTCTTTCCTCTTTCCTTTCACCACTAATACTAATTCCTAGTATACATCAATAATTCCCAGAGAAGTCTTAGATTCTTTCCTCTTTCCTTTCACCACAAATACTAGTTGTCCCATCTTGTCCAGCCAAAACATCAAAAATTCCTCCTATAACATGTTCACATCATCTTAAGGTGATTCATAATACTAATTATTCACAAACAAGAATATTTCTGTTCTTATCTTTTCCAGTAACTTCACGTGCCTACCTCAACATTTTCATCTCAGTAAGAGGAGACTTAAAAGGACTAATTTAGAGATGCTAGCTCAAAAGATCTTAAGTAGGGCACGAGAGTATTATTGAATAAACACTTACGGAAAAGCCTCTATCGCCTCCTCACTAGATAACTATGCATAAAGAACCAACCTCCGGTGCCTCCTTATTGAATAACCATGTAGGGTCTCTTATCAAAACAAGACTAAGACTAAAACTGAACTGAATGCCTAAGCAGTGATCTCCTAGAATTTTTGCTGTCTAATCAACTGGCAAAAAATCAGTGTAATATCATTTAAGATATTCACAAATTATAGCAGCTTCCCCTTATCCAGTAGAACAACATAAATAAAAGGTTATTCTAAATGCATTATTGATTTCTAAATTTGTCAACAATTAACATCCATCCACACAAAGATAAAAAAGAATTTGTGAAACTCAATACAGAAGCAACAAAGAACTTCTCCAGCAATAGATCTGATATACCAACTCTCTACTATCTAGCATCTGAAGACAACCAAAACATAATTGCACCAAAATGAACTCTACAAGGCAGAATCTGCTTACTAGATTCTGAAATGTAAATTAATTTCTTTCAGATCTGAGAACTCTTGACACCCCCTACAAAACATAGTAGTCAGATCGATCTCATACCTAAAAAACAGAATGTCAAGATGAAATAAGGAGATCCAGATCTAATTATGACACCCAATGCATACCGAAGAGATTAGATCATACAATTCTTCCATAGATCTAAGGTGTAACATACTGTATGCATCGATAACCACATAAAGTAACAAGAACATTTAGTCTGATGTCGTCTGTATATAGAACAAAAGACATTGCTGAAAGAAACCGTGGAACATATCAATGGAATATACTTTTGTTTCATACAAACAAGAGAGAGGAAGAACAAGATAACAAGAAATCAAGAACCTCGGCGCAGTTGAGAGCTGTAGATTGGTAGATCAGACACGGGCAGCGGCGACGACGGCAGGTCCAGCCGAGGCGGCTCCTCCAAGAAAGGATAAGAGACTGCTGGCAGCGCCCGTTTCCTGTTCATCGAGGAAAAGATCCTCCGGCACCCGGAAAGCCCCATGGGCGCCGACGATGGCAGCACCGGCGACCAGGGCTGAGATCAGAAGCGACCCGACGGAGGTGAGGAAGACTACGAAAACGGTGATGAGGACAAGACTGCCGAGGGTCTCGCGATCCGAGAAGGTCCGGCCAAGGATGACGAGCGGCGGATCTGAGGGGCGGAATAGGTAGAGGAGACACCAGGCGGCGAGGAGGGCGAGGAGAACGACGAGAGAGAAGGGGTTGGTGATGAGGGAGATGGCGAGGACGGCGGCGACGACAGCGGCGTAGTTGACGCGGAAGTAGGTGAGGTTCTTGCGCAGGCGGTAGGAGGCGTCGGAGAGGGAATCCGGACGGGAGAAGGCAGATCGGTCGGCGAGTTCCGACCAGGGGCGGCGGTTGGAGAGGGAGCGGCCGACGGAGTCCGAGAGGCGGGAGAGGAAGAGGCGGAAGGCGGGAGTGGCGACGGGGGCGGCGGAGGAGGGGGCGACGGGGGCGGCGGAGGCGGCAGGTGGGTTTGAGATGGGGAGGGGAGGCAGGGAGGGGGCGGAAGACATCATCTCCGGCGGGAGAACTTCCGGTGAACTACTTGTAGATCTCGGAAGCGCTCTAGTCGTGGGGTAAAGCTTCACTTCGCGGGAGGCCTTCCGGTGAACTACTTGTAGATCTCGGAAGCGCTCTAGTCGTGGGGTAAAGCGTCATTTCGATATAAACGCAAGAAGAGTGCGGTCGGCGGTTCGCGTCGGTACTCTGCTCCGAGGAGCATCATAAATAAACTAATGTCAGCGAGAGCTACACACGAACTAAGTGGACTTGTGTTGCACAAAAGCGCCATAACTACAGACGTTGCCCACACGTATCACAATGGAAACGTTTGTTATAGAGCGAAACGGGTCAAAGATGAATGGACTCGATGACAGGCTCGTTAATCACACTCGTCGTCGCAAATGTGGAATGATGTCCTCCACAACGTAGTCGGTGATCAACTCATAAAATCTCTGCGACGGATGGATGGCATCATAAAACACAAATCTCGACGCGTCCGGGCAAGCTGGGTTCAACCGGTTGCAAAGAGGACCTACTTCGAACAGCCCCGTCCCGCAACATCCTCTCTTGGTTTCATGGAAACCTGAATCGAACCAGAGCACATTTCGACAGCGTTAGGTAGAGTTACTCGAACTCCAAGCTGGTCGTTCTGTTTGATCGAGAGGGAGAAGTGATGCAGGTCGGCTTACCATGCTTGGCTGCATTGTTGAGGACCTCCATCAAGAAGTCATACAAGTCGAGGTAGACAAACTTGCTCCCGGGAAGAGATTGCTGGGTCTTGAGCAGAAGGTGCTTGAGCTTGGAATTGTAGTGCCGCGCATCTGAGTTCTGCTCATCGACGCACGTCCGGACGACAGAATGAACCACGCTTAGCGTCATTTGGAGCGGTAAGCACCCGATCGGAGGAAGGCCAACGACTATGAACCTACGGCCTCCGAGATCATAGCTATCCTGCATGCATGAAACAGCAAATGAACAAGGAATCGACTACGAAGTGCTTGCGATGGAAAGCATCGATTACCTTGAGAAACTTGTGGAGGTTTTGGAGCAGGAAATCCTGGTACTCATCTATGGTCATCGCAGTCCTGGTGGTGGTGGGCAGGTCATAGTAGTTCAACAGGAAGTCATTGGTTCCCGCACTGACGAGGAACAAAGCGTCGCTTACGATTCTTTTGGCGTCCTCCTCCCCAGCAACAGCTTTGAGCCTGGCGAGGTACTCCTCGAACATTTCCAATTGCCTCGATATGGGGATCGTGTTCAGGAGAGCCGAGGTCGCGTCGTCGAACCCCGACCCGGCCGAAGCGAAGTTGACGCCCGTGCGGATGTCGTCGTCCGAGAGATTCGGGTCCATGAACGGCGGCGACAGCTGCTTGATCTCGAGCTCGGAGCAAAGAAGGTCGGGCACAAGCAGGCCATTGGAGAACCTCCCTGTCGCAACGCTTCCCGGGAAGTCCCGGCCGTAAGGGGGATGGTTGCCCCTGACCAACGTGAGGATGTAGCCATTGTTTCCGGTGTCCAGCGTGGAGTCACCGAAGTACAGGACGGCGGAGAAGTCGGGTGCACGGGTGCCGTTGTCAGCGGAGGCGGTGAAGTCGAAGAAGAGGGAGGAGAAGAAGAGGAGCAAGTGAAGGAGGAAGCGTGCCATGCTTGTCACCGGACCAAAGCTTGGGTGCATGCATGCGAGGTTATATACTCGGGAGTGTGGATAAGGTTGAAGAGGGGAGGATTATTTGATCGTTTATTCACCTGTTAATCCATATCTCATTCGGATCCGCCGTGAAGACACCATATCAAGGTTGATTGATCATCGGTTGAGTGGAAAGGGTATCGATTAACCATCTGATAATTAGGTTAAGAACATTGTGTGCAAGGAAAGGATATCTTATTCCTACAAGGAAAGGAAACAAACAACTGTGCCATGACACCAACTGAATCCTACTAAGTAAATGATGGGATAATGTTCCAAATATAACAAATTAAGGAAATATTATTCCTTGTGGTTCCGATTTTGTGTGGAATTAATTTCACTTGTCAATTAAATTCTGGAGTAAAAGTCAATGTTTTCCATTGGATCAATCTGTATGCTAGATTAACATTAGGACATGGTGAGCTTTGTTGCTCATGGGATTTGGAGTCTTAAATTCATTCTAAGTACCTTAATTCAATTATGTTTATTTTTCTTCTACTTCATGAGAATCGGATCGCATATTTAATAAAAAAAATTTAAAATATCAACTAATATTAGAAACATAAACATTATGATAATTATGTAAAACCGAGTTGATTTTAATTTATTTCTCACGTCAATCTCATTTTTATTAACATAAATGCCCTCTTAAATGAATAATTTAAAAATATTAATTACTTAATTAATTAATTAATTATATTTAATATAAAAAATAATGTTAAGGATATTTAAATAATCTATCACTATATTAGAAAATTGGATCGATTTATTTTATGCAACTTTGATTTATTCTTTCCATTAATTCCTCCATATCCCGAATTCCTATCACAATAGATTGATTCGTCCTTCACGCAAAACCTTTATGTAGATTCATTAGTCCAGCTTGCATGCATATCCGTGGAAAAAGAGAGGAAAGCATGCGCCAAAGATCATAAATGGTTTCCAAGTAGGGAGCTATAAGGATTGCTTGCTTCGTCTCATCCGAGAGGTGCGGTGGACGACGAATCGCACTGATAGCTTTTTGATTCGGGAAAGTCAATATCTCGAAGCAAGAACTGCTTTCTTCGTCATCGTTCCCATTTCGTGTTGGATTCATGAATGATAAACGTAATAGAGAAGAAGAACTTTCCCCAAATATTTTTCGACTCGGATTAAATGAAAAGGGGACACTATCACTGTGTTCGGAAAGAGGAGTCGTCTGCATCTCATGATTTGCATGCGGTGAGAGCCGTCCGTACCCTGCGCTGGTAAATCTTATATTTTTACCACACTCGTCATGAACAGTTTCAAGGTTTTTGTTTTGTGACAGTGCGATATTGACAGAATATTAACATATACGACGCATGCGGTGACGGTGAAAGAGTGGCAGCTCGTTAATGCATATGACATGCTGCCGCATTCGCAGTGGCAGGAGATTATACGGCCGTCTCTGTATTCGCTCAGGCGGCTGCCATTTTCTCTGCTGCTATTAATTTCCACCTCCGTATCTCGTGACTTGTGCGATCGTACTCGGTTGAATTATGTCCGCACCTTGCCCTTAGTTTTCTGCTTGGAGGCATCATCCGCTGCCCAGCCTCGTCTTCTGGGTGTATGTTTGCATCTAACGTTTCCTTTAGAGCTGTGGGATCAGAGGTCAATTGCACTTCCCTTTCCGAGGATATCTGCTAAAACACGGAACCAGGTCTACGGAAATGCTTGGCTACTCGATGAATAAAGCATAGAGAGAGAGAAAGAGAAGGGTTGAAGGAGAACGCAATTCACATCCTGTTACGTACCTTGAACTGGTATGAAGGTGTACCTTACCATATGTTGAGAAGGAAACAAGCAGCTTGGGAAGCTTCGTAGTGAGAATGGTGACGTAGCTACTAGTTTTGGTGTGAGAAGAAACCAACTGCTGCTGGCAAATGGAAAGCGTAGAATAATATGCGGAAGTGGATGAGAATAAGAGAGGATGATACTACGCATTCCCCACGCATCAAACTCCTCCTAGAGTAGTAGTAGTACGAAGAACCCATAGAACTCAGGATAGATAGCGCATTAGACTCGAAAGCAGAACCACCAAATGGTTTCAGAATTCATGTTCCTCATCGTCCATGGCGCTATCCCTCCTGAGCTTTACAGATTCTTCCTTACTTTTGCCTCGTCAACCCACCGAGAGCGAGAGAGAGAGAGAGAGACAGAGAGAGAGGGATGGGGAAACCTTGGGGCTACTGGGGTGAATTTATAGTTGGATATGTACTCGGGTGGGTGGCATAGCTTTGTTAGAAAGGAACTCAGCTTCTCCAGCCTTTATATGCCGAATTTAATGGCCTGTGCAGGCATTAGGTGAGTTGGTGGGAAAATAAAGCTCCACCAATCATTTCCACAGGTTGCAGACTAATCTCTGGCGGTAGTGTAGCTTTCCTTTCACTGTTTCCTTCATGTGAAGTAGTTCTTGGACTGTGCAGCAGCGCAGTGGCCATCGGCTCTGGGCATTTCTTCAGATGCTTGAGGTATATACATGTCAGGATTCACCGGTAGGAGCTTGACCGAACGTCGAATGGCACTTGAATGAGGATTAGGGCAGTCTTAGTTACAGAGGAAACCTAGGTTTAACTGGTGCAGAAGCACCACCACCACTCGGCCCTCGGAACTTGGAGTGCCTCAACGTCTTTCTCCTACCCTCTTCCTCCTCGTCGCTCCCGGTCACCGGTTCCGAGGGCTCTCTTAAATGGCTAAAGGACACTCCCTTTCGTCCGCTCTCGGCTCTCCCTTCTTCCTGCGCACTAAAGCTGACACCCTATCCCTGCCAAAGTTTACGGGCTCCATCCTAACCTAACTTTGGAGAGCAGTGTCCCCAGGTTATTGTAGCAGCTGTACATCACATCACTGTGCCTGTGTCTGTGGCCACCGATGTGATGACGCTGAGCCTGCAGCTTCATGGGCTTTTGAGTTCTTGACCAGTAGGGCTGCTTTAAAGGACATGAATGGATTGATGCTTATGACCTACAGATTTCACTTCCCCTGCTGGATTTGTAGGCTGTGATTTCGTGGATCCTCTGTGGCTCTCCTCTTAGCATTAAATATTTAGTCTTCACACTTCATCATACATACGCTATACTTTCAAATCAGCTGTGATCTTGCTAAAATTAGTGGAGACTTTGTAGCGATGATCTATAAGAGGAGTAATAACTCAGGATCATGTAGTTCCTATAAGTCCATTAATTTTAATTATTGCAACAAACGAGTGTGTCAAGATTCGTGATTGATACATGAGAAGGAAGCTCAATGGCAATGGGAGCAATCATGCAAGTTCCATGAGCCCTCCAAGCCAAACCCAGTTGCCATGCCGCACTCCATCCTTCCCTCCGCACCATCGCATCGGTCGCAGACCCACTCCAGGAACAGCCTCAGGGGAGGTGCGCCGTCCGTGAGCGCGCGTGGCCACCGTGCGGTCGGTGGTGCGGCGTTTCGACCGGCTGCAGGCCTACAAGTAATTCGTAAAGAGCTGCCACGTGATCGACGGCGACGTCCATCTCGTATCGGGCCTGCCGGCGCTGACCAACCGCAAGCTCGTCGAGATCCTCGACGAGGAGTGCCACCTGGTCAGCTTCTGGGTGGTGGGCAGCCAGCATCTCTGTGGCGGCCTCGAATCGACTGCGTCGGGAGTCTCTGTTCCCACTCTGCGTTGGCTCTCTCCTATTCCTCTCAGGCGGCAAACATGGTGCACGTAATGCATGTGATCAGGAATACGACAAAAGTCACACGTCCATGCAGAGGCATCGGTGAAGTCATCGAGTTACGGATGACAGAGTCCAGAAGTCCTTGAACGATCAATGCAGTAGGGCTGTTCTCGTTGTACACGGATGATATCCCAGTGCCGATGGCGATCCCAACCGGAGTCGTGAGCGAAAAGAAGAGCCCCATTGTCACCATTGCCTTGAACTCGAACCTTGCCTGCAACGAGAAGGAACTCCAGAAGAGTAATATTTCCAAGGAGGAAGAAGAAGAAGAAGCAGCTATTCATGCAGCAAAATAAGCGTACCTGAACGATACAGCCTCCGAGACCCATGCCTTCGAAGAACTGATGGAAACTGAGAGCAGCTACCAGTGGTCGTATGGTGGATGGAGGCTCCGATGCCCCCAAAGAGATCCCGATGATCACAGAATGCACCACGATCCCGAGCTCCAAAACCTAGCTCGCGGTTATCGTTAATTCGCGGTACATCGACAAGGTTTGTGAAGGCACAAGGTGAAGCATCGGTTCCTTACCTGAGAAACAACACGATGTCGGATGAGCTGGGCCGAAGAATCCTCCGGCTGCATCACAGCGGCACCATGGGTGTGATCGTGAGTTGCCTCCACATCGCCATTCGTGGCTTCGCTCAATGAAGTCGGCAGCAATCTGTCACCGTTTAATCGGCTGAAGTATCCGGTGGCGAGAGTGTCCACCATCAGCGTCCAGATAGCGCCGACCATCGCGCAGAACCCCGCGAACAGAAAGTCCTGCCAAGGACTCGCGGCCAGACATGAGGAGGTCAGGGTCTCGAACGCATCCGGCAATATGTGGATGAAGCCGGTGGCCAGAATGACTCCGGCGGCAAAAGCTTTGATGACGAAGAAGATGTCCTTCTCCGGACGAAGCGACTGTATCCACATGCCAAGCACGGGAACACCCACCCCGATGCCACCACAAACCAGGATGGAAACTATCGCTGCGATCTTGAGCGGAAGGGCCTTCTTCTTGTCGCGGCCTTCGTCGTCGGTGGAGCAGTCACCTTCGCCATCGCCATGAACATGGAGAGGAAGGAGTCGAAGAAGAACCAGAAAGAGGAACCGCCAAGCGCCTCTCATCTTCCAAACCAATGCTTCCGGATCGTGAGGGAGGAGGAGATGCCTTCACACAAAGAAGAAGGCGAGGTGAGGAAGGTTTCTGAGTCTCCTTGATTTCCTTTTTTACTCCGAGAGAGAAAGCAGGGAGCGGCATCAAAAAAGCACGACGTTCACAACCACGACAACGTTGGTTTGGATAACCCACGACGAGAGGCCAAGACGAAGGAAGATGCATCGACTCATTTCAGCTACATTTTTAACAACGAGCATATTCCCATCAGGGTTACGGAAGACGGAACAAAATAGAGGAGGACAAACAGGAGATCGTAAGGATGGTAGGCCAAAATCATAATAGCAAGTGTCTACAGTGGGTGTAGCAAACATTGATACTACCGCTGCACGATGCCATCATTTGGACATGTAGTAGTAACATTGGGAATGAACCTACCCCAGTTCTATTCAGTGGGGCGCCCTCCCTCCATTTCTTACTGATACAATAAACCAAAAGACAGTCCGTAACCATACCCTACAGTTCCAAATCCATGAGAAAACTAATTGAAATATGTAAATTACTTGGTGAGCTAAGTTCGGCTTTCATTTGAAAATTCAAGCAGTATAAAGTTGACCATAAAAGTACTTGCACATCATCAAAATGCCAGCCAAAGAAAAAACTTGACGGGGAATGTTCTTCAAATCCAAGAACATCATATCTCTAATATCCTTCCTAACTCACGTTGGAATGATGTGAACCATACAGATTTGTCAAACTCTTGTATGTCTGATACCTACGCTGAAAGATAAAGTTGGCTGCAGTTGATGGAATCACAAATGGCCCTACAAATATGAAGTTTATGTCAATTAGTACCTGTGGAAACACCCTTACCGACAACTCCAACAGAAGAGTTGGCTCCAGTTGAATAGGCAAAACTTCTAACCACAAATGGGTAATGGACACTCAAAAAGAACAGTATTAAGAGAATTGGTTGAAAGTTAGTAAGTGAGCTTTTGATGAAGTTAATCAAAGAAGAACGCATGTGAAACACAAACCCTAACATACACTGAAAAAGAAGCATTGCGATAGTTGACTTGGGTTAATAGACATACTTTTTAACCACAAATTGCGTTAATAAGATGACTAACAATTAATACCTGTGCAAACATGCGCTACACGTACACTCAACAAAGAAGCACCAAAAGAAAAGGCTGCTTGATGGTTTTCTTATAAGGTGCTTTTCCGTTGCAAGGGCAACGAAATAATTAGCAGCAGAGACACCAACAACCTCTAGCAACTAGTTGACAACCTCATCTACTTATAAATGGCACTAATGAGAAGTTGAGGTCAATTAACACCTTCATAAAGCTTTCCTAGCAGGAGATTCAACCAACCTAAGAATCTTGATGCACAGAGCACTTGTGACTGAACACAGAAAGTATGAAAACTTACCAAGGACTTTTACATGACAGATAATATGAAATTCTTTCCCTAAAATTTCATGTTACCCTAGTGTTCCCAAGCAAAGTCACTTAGTTTTAGTCGTAATAAAAATATCCTTAATGAAGTAATTCTTGTAATTTACCCAGTCATGCTAAATTTAAAAGGAAAAAAGAAGTTCAACATGTTAACATTCATGTAACTAAACGAAACCACATTTTACAGAGCAATCGTGTTTGAGATTATAGAATAAGATGGCATATAGTTATATGAGATAGTAGGAATTAAGTAGCTATGACATAATTACATAACATAGTAGGAATTTTGCAGTAGTTAATGGATTGTACCAAGGTTTTTAATTTTGAATAATAATGTTTGTACCGGATAATACGTACTGGTTCGTCAGCAGACCGGTATGCGGACCACCCGCTACCATCGATTGGAGTTGTTTCCATCCCGTTACCACCTGCTACCGGGTGGTATTAGCTGAGGGAGAAGAAGAGAACCTGGAGTTCTGACGCTGCTCTCCCTCCTCGTCTGAGGTGACAAGGTCTCGGCATCGTCGACAACTTCTCCTCATCCGTACAGCGAGAAAATTCCTCGACGATGTCGCGAGGAAAAGAAATTGAACGTCGTCAAGGTAGCATTTCTTCTCCCCACGTAGGCAGAGGAGACGAGGCAACGATGTCGCCTCGTCGCCCTTTTTTGCACGAGAAGAAAGAAACAGTTTCTTCTCCCCACCTCTTCGCACCGGCAGAAATGAGGCGAGTTCGAGCAATCATGTTCCATGAGCCCTCCAAGCCAAACCCAGCTGCCGGTGCAACACGTCGCGTCGGCCGCGCGTGGCCACCGTGTGGTCGGTGGTGAGGCGTTTCGACCGGCTGCAGGCCTCCAAGTAATTCGTAAAAAACTGTCACGTGATCGACGACGACGTCGGTACCCTACGGGAGGTCCGTCGCGCGTCGGGCCTGCCGGGGGTGACCAACTGCAAGCACGTCGAGATCCTCGACGAGCAGTGCCACCTGCTCAGCTTCTGGGTGGTGCTCCAATCGATTGCGTCGGGAGTCTCTGTTCCCACTCTGCATTGGTTCTCTCCTATTCATCTCAGGCGGCAAACATGGTGCACGTAATGCATGTGATCGGTAATACGACAAAAGTCACACGTCCATGAAGAGGCATCGGTGAAGTCATCGAGTTACGGAAACTAATATGTATTCTTGGTAATTAACTAAGCACGACCATTGGCAAACCAGAACTATTACATGACATTTAAGCCCACTTGGCAAGGAGAGCCATCAAGCCTGAGCCTGCGAGCAGAGAAACATTCAACGCAAACTGTAGCTTCGGTTTGCTCTGCACCCTCGGGTGCATGAAATCTGCAGCCAGCAGGTCAACCAATGCCATGTATATCAAGATCCCCGCGGCGACAGAATCCAGAAGTCCTTGAACGATCAATGCAGTAGGGCTGTTCTCGTTGTACACGGATGATATCCCAGTGCCGATGGCGATCCCAACCGGAGTCGTGAGCGAAAAGAAGAGCCCCATTGTCACCATTGCCTTGAAATCGAACCTTGCCTGCAACGAGAAGGAACTCCAGAAGAGGAATATTTCTAAGGAGGAAGAAGAAGAAGAAGAAGAAGCAGCTATTCATGCAGCAAAATAAGCGTACCTGAACGATACAGCCTCCGAGACCCATGCCTTCGAAGAACTGATGGAAACTGAGAGCAACTACCAGCGGTCGTATGGTGGATGGAGACTCCGATGCCCCCAAAGAGATCCCGATGATCACAGAATGCACCACGATCCCGAGCTCCAAAACCTAGCTCGCGGTTCTCGTTAATTCGCGGTACATCGACAAGGTTTGTGAAGGCACAAGGTGAAGCATCGGTTCCTTACCTGAGAAACAACACGATGTCGGATGAGCTGGGCCGAAGAATCCTCCGGCTGCATCACAGCGGCACCATGGGTGTGACCGTGAGTTGCCTCCACATCGCCATTCGTGGCTTCGCTCAATGAAGTCGACCGCAATCTATCACCGTTTAATCGGCTGAAGTATCCGGTGGCGAGGGTGTCCACCATCAGCGTCCCGATTGCGCCGACCATCGCGCAGAACCCCGCGAACGGAAAGTCCTGCCAAGGACTCGCGGCCAGACATGAGGAGGTCAGGGTCTCGAACGCATCTGGCAATATGTGGATGAAGCCGGTGGCCAGAATGACTCCGGCGGCAAAAGCTTTGATGACGAAGAAGATGTCCTTCTCCGGACGAAGCGACTGTATCCACATGCCAAGCACGGGAACACCCACCCCGATGCCACCACAAACCAGGATGGAAACTATCGCTCCGATCTTGAGCGGAAGGGCCTTCTTCCTGTCGCGGCCTTCGTCGTCGGCGGAGCAGTCACCTTCGCCATCGCCATGAACAAGGAGAGGAAGGAGTAGAAGAATAACCAGAAAGAAGAACCGCCAAGCGCCTCTCATCTTCCAAACCAATGCTTCCGGATCGTGAGGGAGGAGGAGATGCCTTCACACAAAGAAGAAGGCGAGGTGAGGAAGGCTTCTGAGAATTTACAGAGGTGGAAGGAGAGGGTTTCCTGCGATGAGCACACAAAGCCCGAATCATGGGCTTGACTTGGCATAATTAGAGGAGGAGAAGGATATGTAATCTCCCATAAAAGGAATTCGATCTTAAACTCCATCCAAAAATAAATTCCCTTCTCTCTTTAAATCAACAAAGTGTCGACATAATTCGTCATTTAATTTGTGGGTACAACAACTACTATTTCTTCTACTTGTATTGTTAGACTGAACATCTACCGATTGATCTCTACAATACTTCGAATTCAATGGGTTTGACATTCGTTAGAGAAACCTTAATCTCCGACTAAGTACGATTTGAACTCAGGTCGGTGAGACTTGAGCTACGTAGATCGAAGAAATATTGTCATGCACAGATATGGTGGTAAAAATCAATGGAATGTTGAGAGTTTAACATCTGTGATAGATCCTCTACTTGTATGGGAACTAAAATCGTAGCATGACAAGTAGCTACAGACAGACATTGGTCGACGGGTGCAATACTATACAAGTATTTCATGACAAGGTTTTAATTATCAATCAATTACAAGTACTATTATCTTTTTTATTGTTTTATATATTGATACAGGTGGCAAAGAATCAATCACTTGCCTATTGAGGATCACTAGTAGACCTTAATGTTATGATCTTAATGGCATCGAGGAGAAGAAGAGTGGTATGCTCCCCGGAGAGAGGCGCCTCGTCTTCGTCCCTGCACACAGGTCGGATCGGGATGCTCGACCCAACCCCTCCGATGATTAAGTTAGTGAATAGTCACAGTGGGTTTGTTATCTATGTTGGTGCCCTCTCCTCTTCTCGTTTAGAATGCGAGGGTATTTATAGGGAAGCTTACTGTTTCCTGATGTGCCTGCTTACAGGGGGCAGGCTCGTACTCCTGGTAGCGTCTGACACTGGTGTTGGCGTGGCGTGAAGGAATCGAGGCTGAGCGATCGTTAACGGGCCTCGGTTGGCGTTTCGGCCCACCAGGCGCTGTTAGCCCGACAGAGACATAGGGCGTCAGCTGATGTCACGCAAGTCTTATCGTAATTATCACCCTCATCACAGTGGTAAAAGTCAATGGAAAGTTGAGAGTTTAACATCTGTGATAGATCTTCTACTTGTATGGGACCTAAAATCGTAGCATGACAAGTAGCTACAGACAGACATTGGTATGCAATACTATACAAGTATTTCATGATAAGGTTTTAATTATCAATCAATTACAAGTATTATTATCTTTTTTATTGTTTTATATATTGATACAGGTGGCAAAGAATCAATCACTTACGTATTGAGGATCACTAGTAGACCTTAATGTTACGATCTTAATGGCATCGAGGAGAAGAAGAGTGAATTAGTATGATAGTATTTTTAATCGATTTTAAAACTCGATTGAAAAATCAATATATTTTGAAAACTCTATTGATCATACATACTTAAAGGTTGCTACTGTGACTACTTTGAAGTGAATTCTTTAATGTGTCTTAAAGGTGAGTTGGAAATAAACTAAATGGCTAAATGAAAGGGATAAAAATTCTAAATACTATCCTAATTTGATCATTTTGAGGAGAAGATTAAATCAAACTATCACATTATAGCTGCGTTTCGGGGAGATATTTATTGAAGAAATTTAAGAACAGTGGTAAAACTTCACATCTAATGTACGCTGATGATATCTTCTTAGCCTTTAGGACTAATAAAAAAATATGCTAAAATAATTTTTATTTAACATGATGGAAGTCTTAAGAATAAAATAATTAATGTAAAAACAACTTGAAATATTTATTCCTAATGTTTGAGAGAATAATAAAAAACAAAGCTCGAAGTAGAGAGAAGAGAAGAGAAGGGGAGAGAACCTTACCGTAATCGCTCGGTAGCACCGGAAGCCTCTCTACAGCATCCTTTTCTTCTTCTTCGTCTTCTTCTGCTAATGTTGTCTCCCTTCTGTCTGTCCGTTCATTAATGAGCGTTACATATATAGGCGATTATAGGTTGCATAAGACACCGACTCTGATAAGGAAAACTTCAACACAATCCTAATCTCATCCAAACATACATACACTCCTCGATTAATTCAGATTCTACTTCGTAGTCAGACTTGGACACGAGCTCAGTGCATGCACCTATCGATACTTGGGCTCATTCCAAGTGCGTGGGATCCCAAAATAAGCAACGATTAATGTCCGTATCGATTCCACTGTCTCGTCGCAGAGTACCAAACGATACAGTCTCAGGATGTCACGTGGGATCACGTGGAGCGGCAACGTTGACCCCTTTATAGAAGGATAGAAATATCTTCTCCATCTTTTTTTTTTTCTTCTTTCTTTTTACGCATCTTGGAAGGATAATGTTGAGAGGGGCAAGCGGAGTTCGACAATATCGAGTGACTTCGCCTCCAACTACACATGTGATGAGTATCGTGGATCATCGCACTCATGTCAACTACATTAAAAACGACCTAAGAGGCGTTAGAGGAGATAGCAAGTAGCGTCTGTAAAAAGTATCGATGTTAACAACGATGCCAATACTAGCAAGGAACAATTTTGATAATGAGAATGAAATAAGAGAACGTAGAGAAGAAAATAAAATAAAATAAAATCAATAATACTATGATGATAAATAATAAAATAATATCTTATTATTTGCTTTAGTGGGGAAACCATAAGTTATGGGTTTACGCATATTTTTTACTCTTTCTTTCTAAAATTATGAAAATACCCTTATCTTTGACTATTTTGCCTTTGAGAGTAATGCCGTACGCAGGTGATGTGAATCCAACGGACGTTTCAACCCTCTTCCATGGTCACACGGTGCACTCGTAAGTTGTCATGTGGCAGTCACTGATTGGCCAAAAAAAACTTATAAATATCTACTATTCATAGTTTTTTACAACTTAATTCTGTTGCTTTTTCAACTCTTTTCGAGTTACATCTTTGTTTTTTGTTTGGTTTTGCTAGTGTCAAGTTCTCTTGATTCTCTACTATATTCATGTAGTTGAATTTATATTTCGATTATATTTTTAAGTAATTTTTTTCATAAAGACCAATACAAGATAAAGAAAATATGCTTAGGATAACAATCACACGTTTTCGAGTTTTATTTTCTAATTTTTATTTAATTTTATAATATTTCACATATTTTTATCGTATATTATTATTCTTATTCTGATATTAGGAGTGCAACACGAGGATTTCCCGAGGGTGCTACTATTACCCGAGCTTAATTTTAAAGTTTTGATGGAATATAATGCGTTAGTGCTACTACCATCACACTCGAATCGTAAAATCCATGCTCAAGAGTTTGTGCATTATTGAACGATCATACATTAATATCTTATTTATTCACAAGAGATCGGGATTCTTTGTAGAAGGCTGCCAAATCAAATACAAACAGCCAAAACGAAGTTAATAGTAGCTCAAGAAATTACGTATTCAATATTTAATTTTCATGATAAAAATCCATATATTATCGTAAATTTGGATCTTAAGGAAGTTTATGAGAAGTTTTCATGGATCGCTATGCCTAAAAAGATGATAGACCTATTGCATTTTTCCTACGAAATGATCAATCGGATCAAAACATGTACTGCTTCCCCACTATTTGCTTATTGCATTAATGGTAAATAATCTGATCAACTTAAAATTCAATATGGAATTAGACAAGACTCTGTATCTTTCTTACATGCTTAAGGAAGCCACGAGTACAATAAAATTAGGTGTTTTTAAGTTTAAGGACAGTGATAAAGCTTCACATCCAATCCAATGTATGTCGAGAGTATCCTCATAGTCTTTAAGACTAATAAAAAATCATGTTAAACTATTATAAAATTTTTAATATTTATGAAAGTCTTACGAATAAAAAACTTAATGTAAAGAAAAATTAAAACATTTTTCCCGAAGATTTGAGAGAAAAATCGAAAACAAAGTTTGGATTAGAGAAGAGAAGGGGAGAACCTTACTGTGATTGCTCCGCAGCACTCGAAGCCTCTCTACAGCATCCTTTTCTTCTTCTAATGTTCTCTCTCTTCTGTCTGCCTACAATATATATATATAGTCAGTGCATGTCCTTGTAGATCGGCGAGCTCATTCCAAGTACGTGGGATCGCAAACAAGGCAACGATTAATGTCCTTGTCGATTCCGCTTTCTCATCGCAGAGCACCAAACAAATATAGTTTTAGGATATGACGTGGGATCACGTGGAGCGGCCTCGTTGACGTGACTTGGCGAACCTTGAACCTGTCTTTGTTTCCTATCCGGTCCTTGCCACTTTGCGTTGGTCAGTTGGAGCATTAAATGGAGAAAACGGGGAAAGGAGATTGCTATTTATAATATCTTAGTTATAATTTTTTATTTTAAAAATTATAATATTTTTAAACTATCCTTTTACAAAAAGGATATAAATATCTCTTCATCTTTCTTTTTGTTTATTTGTTTTTCGGGGAGGTGATCGTCCGACAATATCGAGTGACATCACATCTGATTACACCTAAGCAAGTATTGATAGATCGCACGGTCGTTAACTACGTAAAACATGAGCAAAGAGGTGTTTGAGAGGATAGCGAATAGGGTCAACGATGATGATATCGATATAGGCAAAAAATATCTTTGACAACAAGAATGAAATAAGAGATTATAAAAAATAAAAAATTAAAATTAATAATATTAGGAAGGTAATGAATAAAATGATATATTTTTTTTAAAAGACGGTGAATGGTAAACTTTGATCGGGAAACCATAATTTATGAGTTTGCCATCATTTTTTACCCTTTTATTTGTAAAATTATGAAAATGCCCCTAACATTTATTGTTTTGCATTTGAGAGTAACGCTCTACCCGTTACCCTTTCACCACGCACGGATGATGCGTGTGCGTCGAGTCCAACGGATGTTTCAGCCCTCTTCCAC